TGGTCAGCACTCTCTTTTTTTGGTGGTTGTGAACTCAGTCTGAGAATTGTCCTTGAGCTCTTTTGCTCAAGGCTAGCACTCTGCCACTTTGAGCCACAACTCCACTTCCAGTTTTTTGAGTGGTTAATTGGAGATAAGAGTCTCACAGGGACTTTTCTTCATGAGCCACTTGCACCCAGCTGGGCAGTACTCCATATCTGTATATCTCAATATATATTATAAGGGATATTGAAGTAATAACATAATAAAAGGAATTTGATTACATGATATATTCTGATCATTTCTAACAATCATGCACCTAAAAATAGTAATTCCTATATCCTGATTTTACAGAGAAAATTCATACCAAACCAAATAGTCAATGAGGCTGGTCGATGTGTCTTGCTTTTTATGTAATTATACATTTTCCAGCTGTATGTAAGTGAGTGGCAGGGTTGAGGGGAAATAAGTTTTAGCTTCTTTTTTCTTAGTAATCTCCAGACTCACACACAAATGGGAAGAAAGCTCTGAGGGTTTCAAGAGGAGAAATAGTCAGGTCTTCTTGACCCTACACCCAAGACTCCCAAGATAATCCACAATCTTGTCAGCCAAGTTTCTCCTTTAGGGCTTCTCTGCACTCTCTCTGTAAGGATAATTCATGATGTCCTCAGTCCAATCATAGAGTCTTCCTAAAGACTGCACTCACACCATGACTGTGAGTTTGTGCAAAGGAGGCCAGATGCTCATGCTCTATAGGGACTCTGGGGGAATCCAGGATGGAATGGAGCCCATGCTAATGATGCTGATAGCTGCAAACTTCATTCAAATACCAGTGTCAGTTGTAGAGCTCCCACATTCTCTGTGTGGCCAGAAATACATTCCTTTGTAACTGCTTAGCCAATACTCTGTATGATTTGCCATTAAACGTCATTCCCAGATCGGAGTTCCAGGAAGATGGCGGAGGAGAAGCTGGCGGCTAAACAAGCTCTTGCATAGAAAGCAGTTTTAGTGTTCTAGTGAACAGTCCTAAGCCAGAGAATCACACCAAGTGTGCCATCACAGTCCAGAGAGTTAGGCCAAAGAGGGAAAATCCAGGCAAGGAGACAGATCTGAGCACTTGCCAAGCAGCTGCCAATGCGGCGGCAGTGGTGGTGACAGCAGCAGTAGCCTCCATACCTACAACACAGAGAGTCTGGGACAAAGGAGTCAGACGTGGTGGGCAAGTGGGTTCGACTCAACACCAGCAAGAACTGACAAGGAGCAGACATCTTCATCCTGCAGTTTGCAGACCACGGACGACCCAGGAACCAAGACTCGGCGTGAGTAGAAGCCTGACATCCTCACTACTTCTCAGGGAGCAGAGGAGGGAAGGCCACCCCTCCTACAGTTGAATTCAATAAACATAAATCCTGAGAATGGCTCCAGGCTGGGCTCTGTGAGTCTCTCACAATCTAGCCCCTCAGGGAAAAGCTACTGTTTGCTGAAAGGCCTCAACTCTACCCAGAACCTAGCCTCATCACAGCATCTCCAAACTTGAGGAAACAGCCTCTCCCTCTTTTGTGATACTCAAAGCAGATCTTCCTCACATTGAACTAACCTGGGAGGAGGATCACAAAATCCTGGGTAAAGCAGAGCATTTTTCTGCCTACTCAAACTGACTTAAGAAACCAACCAACCCACAGGAAAATCAAACACCACAAGCAGACCAGAGATTCCAACAAGAGGCTGATTATGGACACAAGGGAGATACAGCATCTCCTCACCCCTCCCAAAAAAAAAAAAAACAACAACAAAGAATGTTTTATTTTTTTTGTACCTTTTATTAAAAAAAAATTTCTAAAACTTTTTTTAAATTTTTTATTTTTACCTTTTAAAAAATTGTTTTTTTCCTCCTCTTATACTTTTTATTTTAGGGGTATATGTGTGTGTGCGTTTTCTTTATCTTTTTTTTCTTTTTAAAAAAATTTTATTTTTTTTGTTTTTTGTTTAGCTCTACTGAACTTCTGATCTTTTCTTATTTCTTTCTTATTCTTTTCACCTTTTCTTCTCTTTCGTTCTTCTTTGTGTGACTTAATTGCTGTTCTACACATCCTCAGATATACCCATTGTCCATTATTAGACCTTATCCCCCATTGTGTACACACTTAATCCAGAAATTTATTACTCAATTCAAAACCTCTTAGACTTAAATTCCTTAATAGCAGTACTACCTCTTTATACCTATATAATATTGTAAGTATTTTTATTTTTAAGTTTTTCATGTCTCCTTTATATCCCTCCCCTTCTCTCATTATATCCATATTCTTCTCTGAATATTTTGTTTTCAAATCTGCATAATTTTTAACCATTGCAATTTTTAATTTTTAATGTTTGCTTTTTTTCTTGTCTCTTTTTTTCTCTTTCTCTTTCTTCTTTTTTTCTCTCTCTCTACTTTCATCCTATCCAACCTATTTCCCACTTTGAGATTAGGACTTAGTTAAGTTAACTCTCCCTGTGCCTTCCCACATCTCTCTATTCCTATTTTTACCCACATCTCTCCCTAAACCTAATAATTTCTGGTTTGCCAAATTCTTCTTTGTGGTTTATAGCCCATTAATATATAGTTGTTTGATGTTGAATAGATGTATCTGTTGAACTAGATTGTATCTGCAGACTTTTGACTGTGCAACTATAGACTTTGGTTGATGCTTGCCTTAAGATAGTGTTCTAGCACAAAACTGGTGTTAGTTTCACCCTAAATGGTCAGCAGAAGCAGGAAAAACAGAAGAAAAATGGCAAGTCCATGTATCTCAACTCCCACTCATGATAATCAGGGGACAGAACAGATAATGAATAATCCAGAGGAGAGTTCGCAAATGGCTCTACAAACACTGCTGGTAAACATGGTAAATGAAAAGATTGAAAACATACAAAGGACTCTGTATGAGCATGATAGGGAAAGAGAGGAGGCAAACCAAAGTTTAATACAAGAAAAGATTGACAACCTACAAAGGACTATGTATGAGCATGATAGGGAGAGAGAGGAGGCA